AATGTTTGCTCTGAGAAGTTGAATGAACAAATTTATTAAATGGTAAGTTTTTATATAAAAGTTTTTATGTCTGATGATTGAAAATCTTTATTCATAGCTTTAGCTTTTACAACTTTAAAAACTTTTTCATATATTACGGTCAAAAAGTCATAGTGTTAATTAACGTTTTATTGTGTAATAATCAACATATCAAAGCTTGGTCGGGAAGCGAGAGCGATCCCTCTCTAATACTGACCACGGAAAAACTGGCCAGGTTTTCTAGTTGATTTAACGTAACAAAAGTTTTTTCTTGGATTTCAAAGTTGGTTTCACCAACTTTGAAATCTATTTGAATTCAACTGTTGAAAAAAACAACAGAGTATTCATATCAGTTTAAAGTTTTAACAGTTGCTGGCGGTTCATTATTATTCATTATATAAACGTTTATTTAAATTTATATAATAGACGAAGGTAATACAATTTTTTTATAGATGATATTATTTTTAAAAACTGTATTATTAAAATTCAGAATTAAAATATGTAAAAAAAATTATTTAAAAACATTGGACAACTTTATATTTCAAATAACCACACTTTTTATGAAAGTGAGGTTATTTGAAAAGAATATTTTTTTTTAGAAAAAGATCAAATTATAAGATAAAATAAAGATTTTTTTTTTGGATAAAAGAAACAATTTTTAGATAAAATAAAAATAAAGTTTTTTACAGGAGAAATGTTTTTCATTCTCTTGTAAAATTTTAATTTTGTGACTTGTCACATTTTCAAAATACAGCACTCAATTAAGCTATTATGTTTTTTTTGGTGCTACCCATTTAATTTTTCTGAAACTTATGTTTTTCTTAGTGTTCGTTCTTAGTCATCCTTAATAATAATATTCATACTAACATGTATAATAAGCTCCATACTAATATCCAACTTAACTAATAGCTAAGTTTTAAAAGTTTTGTTATTGAAAGCATGTACAATCTTAGCATTTCCATTACAGTAGATAGTAATTTTAAACATTTTGTAAAAATGATTGTTAAAAATGGTCAGGGAAATTCATTTGATTTTTCAAAAAAGTCATTGATTTTTATATAAATTGTTGGCTACGAACCCTGTTGGAGAAACATTGTTTTAATATGAATTTTTTTGTTGTACAGTGCAATCTGTATTTTATAAGAAACACAAAACAATTCTCTAATGTGTAAGCTTAAACATTAACGAAAATTGTTTTGTGTCAGTGCCGGAAATTAAATGCACACCTGCAAATTTCATAATTCATAAAAATATTATGAATCCATTAGCAAGTATATATTTTTATCATTAAAAATTTGATTTTCTTTCTTTATTTTTATCTGTTTTATCAGTGATTGTTGTATTTACTTTCATAAATTCTAAATATAATATGTAATTAGTTGTATAGTTTCTTAATAATATAATTAACTTTAATGTTCAAGATAAAGTTGTATCCTTGAAAGATATGCTGGTATTATTGGCACAATGGACAAGCATTGAGGTGCAACTTGGTGAAATACAAAACACATCAAATTCAGTTATAAAAATTTGAGTAACAAAGGTAATATTTTTTATGATCTGTTTAGGCATTTTGTATGACGTCTTAGTACAACTTATATACTTTAAATAAAGTAGTCTTTGAAGATTTCTTGTAAATGACATTTTATATTAATTTAAGTCTAAACAAAAGTTACTTTAATTATTGCCAGGTTGTGTATTTTTGCAGGTCAATTATTTGGCACAATTTGGAGTTAAAGACAAAGGAGATTGTATATGTTATTTACTAAGAATTGTTTTTTAAAATGGCATAGCTGTAAAATTAAACTATACAGGGAGAGGACAAAAAATTGGAATAGGAAAAATGTTGATTGCATATGTTGCTATTGGTAAGTGGTTTAGAAAAGTTTATTTTTTCAGTCTCAATTTTGCATTACAGAAATAATTTCAATTTGTTATGTTTCTTTGGTGCATAATTAAACAAACAAGTATTTTTTTTGTAGAAACTGTGAAGTCAAATAAGCATGGTTTATGCAGACATGTGATAGAGATAGTCGAAGAAAAAATAATAATAGTGGGTACCAAATATCATAAACTAAACATGATTCAATAACAAGTAGCTCAGCCAATATCGAAACTACTCTATAAATTTTATAGTTAATTTTTTTATTTGAAACTCAATGTGTCAGCTTTTGGTTTAAGTTTAGTGTTTGCAATGTGTATATTTAACCGAGAAATTATGTTAAATAAATAAATTTTTATACTTGTATCATACATTCTTTTTTTTCTCTATAAATTTTTAATGTAGCGGTGCAAGTCATCTTATTTGTAACAACGATCTAATGTTGCATAAAACGTTAGGCCGATATACGATATACGATATTGGGCCAATGTTGTATACAACGTTAGGCCAATTTTGTATACAACGTTGGGCCAATGTTGTATACAACGTTGGGCCAATGTTGTATACAACATTGGCCTAACGTTATATACAACGTTGGGCCAATATTGGGTAAACGTTGTATACGTCATTGGGCCAATACCTAACCAATGATCAAACCTGCATTGGGCCAACATCGATTTTCAACGTTAGGCCAATGCATCATCATGCATTGGCCCAACGTTGGTCCAATGTAAGCTTGCTGTCTGGGTAGGTACCATTATAGTTAGGGCATTTGCGAAAACAACTTATCAAGGGTATCATCGTTTACAAAATTAGCATTGTTATACAATATTTAGTTTAATTTAGTTAAGTTTGTGCCCTTGACTATTTTTATGCTTATATATTAATATGCCCTTAGATATTTTTTTCCTTATACATTTTATCGATAAAATCGTTCATTATATTATCAAAATTGATCTCTCAAAGAATATATGATTCGATAGACATCAAGCTCAGTACGTCTAAACTCACCTGAAGCATGGTACTTTTTTGCTCATTTTTAATTAGTTTTATTTTTGGAAACAAGCGCTCCGCAGAACAATTTGTAATCATAAAAGTTATAAAAATGCATTGAGCAATTTCGACTTACGGAAAAACAGGTGCAAGGTTGTCATGAACCAAAGTTTTGTAAAGTTTACAATAAGAGAACTGAGTTTTTGATGCAAGTTTTAATTTGAGGTAGTTGTGATATTGCCTTGATTCTGTATGAAAGTCGTTAAAATAAAAATCAACCAAATTAGAAACTTACTTTCGATAGTCATTTTTTAAAAGTAAAAAAGTTAGCCAAAAAAGAAAACATCTGCAATCTCTAAGATGTTCTTTTTTTTTGGCAAATAGCGTTGTAACATTTGCATAATCGATACCTGAAAAGATTGATTTTGCTTTGTTTTCAAATTCATCTAAATTGCCTCTCATTTAGTCTAACATATTTTCTAACAATGAGAACATCAAAGCGCAAGTTTTGAGATCAATTTTTTCTCACTGAAGAGCTTTTCTTGTCGATCGAAAACTAATTAAAATATTGTTCCACAATACGAGCATAAAGACAAATTTAAAAGTTTCCACTTTATTTGCAATACATTAAGCTTCTTAACTCGTGCATTCAGCTTCGTACCTCGTACATTCAGCTTCGTACCTCGTACATTCAGCTTCGTATCTTGTACATTCAACTTCGTACATTGCGCTTTCACTTTTTTTTTTTTTTTTTTCAATTTTTTGAGAGGGAACTTCAGCAATCTTATTCAACGCTGTCAAAATTAATTAAAAAGAATTCAGAACTACTTCAGTGTCAATTGCGCGAGTCTTCCAACGTGTTTTTAATAATAATTTGAGTACTTTTTCGTTCCCGATGTGTGGTCTTAAGACGAGTCTTGCCTAAAATTTTTAAAACCTGTTCTGCAATTACCACACTGCACAGTGCTGCAAAACCTCAAAAAAATAATTCAAGATTTTTCAAAACATAAAATTAATTTTTTAGTTTTTTAAAATGAATTATACTGCTTATATTATCTAAAAATATATAGGTTAGTTATTTATGTTTATTAACAAAACCGCAACACAGATTTAAAAGACGTCATTTTTGTAATAAATTTTCATTAAAAAAAAACAATTTCAATTTTTTTTTTTAAATTATTCATAAATTAAAACTTTTTTTTTTGTCAGTATGTTTAAGATATTTTAACTTCTACGTCAAAAAGATTTCACATACTTAAAGTGATAAAAAACTTTCAAAAATTACTTTAAAAAAATGCAAAAAAAAGCAGCTTTTTGTAATTTTGAATTCGCTGATCGTTTAAAGACATCCTTATCAAGCTAATCTAACTAAATCTTTATTAAGTTCTGGTTATGGTAATACCTCATAAAAAAATTCAGCTGCATATATTCATGTATTATCATAAATTATTAACTTCTAACACGAAACCTTTTTTTTTTGCTCTCATATTCTCAATGTTTATAATTCGTATAAAATATAAATAAATGCAAAAAATTTAAATTTTTTTATAAATACCAATAATTAAGTCATTTTGCTAGATTTAAAAAATTTACTTTTTTGTTTTAAAATGATTTCAAAAGTAATTTTAAACTTATTTAAAATTACTTTTTTAATTTAATAATAGTAATAGTACTCAAGCAAATCAACATCATTATTTTTCAAGTCTATTAATTATTATTAAAAATTATTATAAAATATTATAAATTAACAATTTTGAAAAAATTTAAAAAAATTTTAAAGTCTATTATTCAAGCTTCTTTCGTCTTCGTCTCCCAGACAGCAACCCAACGTTGTGTACAACATTGGCCCAATGTTGTATACAACGTATACCCAACATTGGCCCAACGTTGTATATAACGTTAGGCCAATGTTGTATACAACATTGGCCCAACGTTGTATACAACATTGGCCCAACGTTGTATACAAAATTGGCCTAACTTTGTATACAACACTGGCCCAATATCGTATATCGTATATCGGCCTAACGTTTTATGCAACATTAGATCGTTGTTACAAATAAGATGACTTGCACCGCTACATTAAAAATTTATAGAGAAAAAAAAGAATGTATGATACAAGTATAAAAATTTATTTATTTAACATAATTTCTCAGTTAAATATACACATTGCAAACACTAAACTTAAACCAAAAGCTGACACATTGAGTTTCAAATAAAAAAATTAACTATAAAATTTATAGAGTAGTTTCGATATTGGCTGAGCTACTTGTTATTGAATCATGTTTAGTTTATGATATTTGGTACCCACTATTATTATTTTTTCTTCGACTATCTCTATCACATGTCTGCATAAACCATGCTTATTTGACTTCACAGTTTCTACAAAAAAAATACTTGTTTGTTTAATTATGCACCAAAGAAACATAACAAATTGAAATTATTTCTGTAATGCAAAATTGAGACTGAAAAAATAAACTTTTCTAAACCACTTACCAATAGCAACATATGCAATCAACATTTTTCCTATTCCAATTTTTTGTCCTCTCCCTGTATAGTTTAATTTTACAGCTATGCCATTTTAAAAAACAATTCTTAGTAAATAACATATACAATCTCCTTTGTCTTTAACTCCAAATTGTGCCAAATAATTGACCTGCAAAAATACACAACCTGGCAATAATTAAAGTAACTTTTGTTTAGACTTAAATTAATATAAAATGTCATTTACAAGAAATCTTCAAAGACTACTTTATTTAAAGTATATAAGTTGTACTAAGACGTCATACAAAATGCCTAAACAGATCATAAAAAATATTACCTTTGTTACTCAAATTTTTATAACTGAATTTGATGTGTTTTGTATTTCACCAAGTTGCACCTCAATGCTTGTCCATTGTGCCAATAATACCAGCATATCTTTCAAGGATACAACTTTATCTTGAACATTAAAGTTAATTATATTATTAAGAAACTATACAACTAATTACATATTATATTTAGAATTTATGAAAGTAAATACAACAATCACTGATAAAACAGATAAAAATAAAGAAAGAAAATCAAATTTTTAATGATAAAAATATATACTTGCTAATGGATTCATAATATTTTTATGAATTATGAAATTTGCAGGTGTGCATTTAATTTCCGGCACTGACACAAAACAATTTTCGTTAATGTTTAAGCTTACACATTAGAGAATTGTTTTGTGTTTCTTATAAAATACAGATTGCACTGTACAACAAAAAAATTCATATTAAAACAATGTTTCTCCAACAGGGTTCGTAGCCAACAATTTATATAAAAATCAATGACTTTTTTGAAAAATCAAATGAATTTCCCTGACCATTTTTAACAATCATTTTTACAAAATGTTTAAAATTACTATCTACTGTAATGGAAATGCTAAGATTGTACATGCTTTCAATAACAAAACTTTTAAAACTTAGCTATTAGTTAAGTTGGATATTAGTATGGAGCTTATTATACATGTTAGTATGAATATTATTATTAAGGATGACTAAGAACGAACACTAAGAAAAACATAAGTTTCAGAAAAATTAAATGGGTAGCACCAAAAAAAACATAATAGCTTAATTGAGTGCTGTATTTTGAAAATGTGACAAGTCACAAAATTAAAATTTTACAAGAGAATGAAAAACATTTCTCCTGTAAAAAACTTTATTTTTATTTTATCTAAAAATTGTTTCTTTTATCCAAAAAAAAAATCTTTATTTTATCTTATAATTTGATCTTTTTCTAAAAAAAAATATTCTTTTCAAATAACCTCACTTTCATAAAAAGTGTGGTTATTTGAAATATAAAGTTGTCCAATGTTTTTAAATAATTTTTTTTACATATTTTAATTCTGAATTTTAATAATACAGTTTTTAAAAATAATATCATCTATAAAAAAATTGTATTACCTTCGTCTATTATATAAATTTAAATAAACGTTTATATAATGAATAATAATGAACCGCCAGCAACTGTTAAAACTTTAAACTGATATGAATACTCTGTTGTTTTTTTCAACAGTTGAATTCAAATAGATTTCAAAGTTGGTGAAACCAACTTTGAAATCCAAGAAAAAACTTTTGTTACGTTAAATCAACTAGAAAACCTGGCCAGTTTTTCCGTGGTCAGTATTAGAGAGGGATCGCTCTCGCTTCCCGACCAAGCTTTGATATGTTGATTATTACACAATAAAACGTTAATTAACACTATGACTTTTTGACCGTAATATATGAAAAAGTTTTTAAAGTTGTAAAAGCTAAAGCTATGAATAAAGATTTTCAATCATCAGACATAAAAACTTTTATATAAAAACTTACCATTTAATAAATTTGTTCATTCAACTTCTCAGAGCAAACATTGAACTTCTGTAAAGAGTTTAGAGTTACAGGTAAATCCCAAAGTTTAATAACATTTTTTGTTTTATTATAACAAAATGAAGATAAATCATCTACACCAAAATATACACAATTTTTTGTCTCTTTAATCTTTATTTTGACTGGTCATTTTCGCTGTCTTCCTTTTTTGTCTGCAGAGCAGAAATTTAGCCCTCTGCTAAATTCAATTTTGTATTGCTTTAAAAATCTATAAATCAAATCATTAATAATTAAGTTATAACTAAAGTTAATATATAAGCTTAAAGTTGTTAATTGCTGTACGCAAACTAAATATGAAAAATAGCCAAAATTGTTAAACTAAAAAATAATTAAACCTCAGAAACATGGAATATTAGAAAGCTCTACATACGTAGACTATAAGTTCTAGTAACATCACTTTTTGTACACTGTTTTAATATGTTAGTAGATGGGGTTTCATAATCAAATGCAGAAAAAAATCAAACAAAAGAGACATATTTAAAATGTAAAATATCAGCTTTTAACAACTTCAATGGCATTGAAGTTGACATTGGCATTGACAATGGCATCGACAATGCCACATATATATTATTGATACCTTCAATAATATATCTTATAATAGCTATATAATCTAAACTATTATAAATAAATTATGAAAAAAAAAACTTATACTGTATGACATTTTAAATATTTGATTTATTTAATAAAGAAGACATTTAAGATGTCTTCTTTATTAAATAAATCGAACATTCGAAATGTTTCATTTATTTAGTAAAGATTATTAAATAAATCAAACATTTGAAATGCCAATAGAGTAATAAAAATAAAATAATAAATTTAAGATCTTACACAAAAATAATTTAATTATTGCCTTTATTATTACATTAATAATTTAGATTGTAGTAAAAAATGTTTTAAGCACATTATTTAAATGTTAACAAATATTTTATTATTTAAAAAAACAAAACATCAAGTCACGAGAATCTCTTGAAGTTTATTTCTTATAAGGAAGCTTTTAAGATTCTTAGAAGATTAATAAATATAGCTTCTTCTTTTTGTAATTAAAAAAAAAAATGAAAACAAAACTTTTTTTTATTCTGTCGAACGATACCATTTTTAAAAATGTTTTTAAAGTATATACTAATCCGCAACTACATTGGCCGAATATTGGCTACGGTATAAGTTTTTTTTAGCAAAATATTAAGCCTAAACTACATTGGCCAAATATTGGCCCAACGTAGTACGATAATTGCAAAAAACCGATTTGTAGAATTGCAATATTACGCCGAAAAAAAAACATTGGCTAAATGTTGGCCCAATAATCTACGATATTTGCAAAAAACCGACTTGCAAAATTGAAATTAATACGCCAAAAAAAAACATTGGCTAAATGTTGGCCCAACGGAATAAACTTGCCAATGTTAAAACTTACATTGGGCCAATGTAAGCTTGCTGTCTGGGATAACCCTTAATAAAAAGAGACATAAAGTCTCCGTTGTCTTAGGAAAAAGTGTACTGTCAATTGATGTAGATAACAAGCAAGCAGCTATAAATATAAAAAAGACAAAGAAAAAAATGACTGTTGTAAAAAAAACCAAGTTGTACAGCAAATGAGTACAGACAATCTACCAACTAGCTCTAGACTTATAGTTTGATGAACAATGCATAGGTTTTTTTTAGTTTAGATAATAAGGTTTCTTTGTGATTTATATCTTAAATAAATTTGTAAGTTAGTTTCAAGCTGTCATTTTTAACACTTTTTTAGCTTAAAAACATATCACTCAATATCCATGTATCTGTAAATATCTAAAATATAAAACAATTAACCAAAAAATATAATATGCTTTTAGGTAGCCAAAGTCACCACCACTATAGGGGTGACTTTGACTCACCTTTAAAATTAAAATAAAAGTTCCAAGGATATAATTTTTTTATTTTTATGTTTTAATTATTTGTTTCTTTGACGCCATGCACACAGGTACGGATGCAGACCATCAAGTAAGAGGAAGGGGTATTTTTAGCAACCCTACAAATCTTTTTTTTTTAATTTTTGTCTCTTTATCTGTAATACTCTTATACTTATACTAAAATTACTCCTTAATAATAATTTTCATCTTTAATTCTAAATAAACTACCAGTAAAAGTATGAAATGACGTCCTATCCTAGTATCTCAGTAATTCGGTTTAAAATTTGTGCTGCACAATTTAATTGAATCACTTTTAAATAGTACGTCGAAAGTTTAAAAGCGAAAAGGAGTTTATTGGAATTTTTAAATTCTGATTTTTTTTTTGTTTGATTACTTACCATGGTTGTTAATTTTGCAAATAAAACATTACAACAATATTTCTTTTTATTATTTCACTTTTCATTTAGTCTTTTTATTAGAAAATAAACAAATTTTTAGTGAGCCTCAACTTGACTCTGCAACCAATAAAATTAACCAAACATGTTTAAGTAAGATTTTAAATGCTGTGTTCGTTAATGACATTAGAAACTTTGTTGGTACATTTATTGTTGATATAACTATAAAAAGCCTGTTAGAATTGCTATGGAAACCATCAACTGACTACAAAGGCCTCACTTAGGGAAAAGGCGCCTATGATGGTATAGCGTCTGTGATGGCATACCAGTTATATTTCCATAGATATTAGTTTTGGTGAAAAAGTGAATAGACCTACATGACTATACTGACTTTACACTAGTTTTAGTGAAAATTCCCTTTTGAACAAATATTGTTTTTATAATGAACAAAAATCGATTTGGGGATGTGCTGTTGTAGTTTTATCACCTTCTTATATTTAAGATTGTCTTTTCATTATTAACTGTGCTTTAATTTTATCTTTTGAACAAGGCAGACACAGTTTGTTTTAATGAAAATGAGGATTTCTTTCCATGATGGCATACTGACGAGCAGGGTATGTTGCAATATTTATAAGTTTGTAAAACCTTTATTTTTTATAAGAAAAACTTATTTTAAGTAAAGTAAAACAAAAGCGATGCTCTAGAATTCTTAAAAGTAAAAAACTATAAATATAAGTCTGACTGTCAATCTAAAACCATACATTTGAAAGAACGAAATTTAAAAATGAGTAACACTGATAAATTAACAAGTAGGCTAAAACAAGAAACTTGGAACGACGTATATAAATGTCAAGATACTAATGAAGCTTAGAATGCTTTTTTAAGTACATTTTTGGAGTATTTTAACGAAACCTGTCCGCAAGAGATTATAAAAATTAAGTCAAAAGCTCTGGCTAATCTGTGGATGGATAAATCATTATTAAAGTGCTCAAAAAAAGAGCAAAAACTTTACAATAAGTTTCTGAAAAATAAAAACAATAATAATGAAAAAAATTACAAAAGTTATAAATATTTTTATCAAGATCTCATTAAAAATGCCAAAAAAAAATATTACAGTAATCAAATTAACAAATGTAAATTTGATAGCAAAAAAACATGGTCCATCCTTAATGCAATAATGGGAAGAGAAAAACTAAATTCACCTTCACTACCTAAACGAATTGTTATTGATAACAACGATATATTTTGTCAAAAACTCATCTCGGATGAATTTAATAAATATTTTATTAGTATTGGTCCGAACCTTATCAAAAAAATAAAACCAACACCTGAATCTTTAAAAAACCCACAAATAACGTTATAATGCATGATTACGAATTAAGCTATGACAATCTTAAACCCACGAATAACGTTATAATGCATGATTACGAATTAAGCTATGACGAATTTGAGGCAGCTTTTGCCTCTTTAAAAAAAAAAAAAAGCACCAGGATTTGATGAGATACCTAGTGATATAATTATTGCAAATAAACGCAGTCTTAATAGACCTCTGATAAATATACTAAAGCTCTCGTTAAATTCTGGGATTTTTCCGGATGTACTTAAATTAGCAAAAGTAACTCCTTTATACAAATGTAATGATCATTCTGACATTACAAACTACAGACCCATATCATTACTTTCTGCATTTTCAAAACTCTTCGAACGTGTAGTTTATAATAGAATCTATGATTACTTTATTAAAAACAATTTTTTTTACCCAAATCAGTTTGGCTTTCAAAAAAATCTTTCAACTGAGCATGCAATTATTGAAATAGTAAATCAAATAACTAATGGTTTTGAAAATAATAAGCTTACTTTAGGAGTATTTCTTGATTTATCAAAAGCATTTGATACAGTGGATCATTGCATTCTCTTAGATAAAATAAGACATTACGGAATAGTTAATAAAACCTATTATTGGATTAAAAGCTATCTTACCAACAGAAAACAATATGTACATAATGTTCACTCTGGAGTATTAAATGTTTTGTGTGGAGTCCCGCAGGGATCAATTCTTGGTCCACTCCTTTTTCTTATATATATAAATGACTTCTGTAATGCATCCTTAAAACTGAATTCAGTCATGTTTCCAGATGACACGAATCTATTTCTTACCAACAATGATATCAAAAAATTATATGCTGACATGAATATAGAACTAGTTAAAGTAAACAACTGGTTTAAAACTAACAAACTCTCGCTTAATGCTGAGAAAACAAATTATATACTATTCCATAAAAAAAAACAAGAGGAAAATCTTCCTTTCAAATTGCCTAAACTATTCCTAAATGATAAACTAATTAAAAAGCAATCCAATATAAAATTCTTAGGAATCATAGTCGATGAAAATTTATCCTGGGTTCCTCATATAATATACATCCAGTCAAAAATCACTAAAATCATAGGTTTGATGTATTGAGTTCGCTCTTACGTCAATACACAAAGTCTGAAATTAATCTACTTTGGGCTAATACATAGCTTCATCAACTATACAAACATTTCATGGGCAAGTACTCAAACATCAAAGCTTAAAAAACTGTATAGTTTGCAAAAACGTGCTTGCAGAATCATTTACTATAAGGATAGGCGTGAACACGCTAAACCTTTAATGAGTGATATGAAAATGATGAATGTGTTTGAAATAAATGTCTATCAGCATTTAATTTTCATGTAGCGTTACA